TTTTTTGGAAAGATGGGACACGTCAAGGAAAAAAAGAGCAAGTGAGTCTAAGAACAGTTGTGAGAGCCACCTCGATCTTGTGTAGTGGTTGTGTGCATCTCCTACGTCTTCATGTGCTCTTCAGACATCCATTTTTCATAGAATCATGTTTTTTTTGTTGTTGTTGTTGTTTTATTTTATTTTATTTTATTTTGTGCCTCAGTTTTCACACAAGAGATTTACAGGTTTGGCCCTTAATGTAAGACCCTACCCAAAGCAGATCCTCTTTAAAATTAGATCTCTTATAAAGGACAAGAAGTGAGCATCCCAGAAGTACAATTCACTCTCAAACGATTTTGAATTGTAAAACATTTTATAGTTTTTAACGGCAAAATTCAGCTGGATTTCCCTGCCTCTGGAGGAGCAAATGACAAACTGTTGACCAAAACAATCTCATTCACGGGAGTCTGGTGGTAACCAGATGAAGGTTTGGCGCCCTTGTGATGCCAAGGATTGTCACAAATCTGCAGTGTGTGATGTGATGGAGGGATGCTCAGTGACCATTACCATCCTGCAGCAAAAATGCTGAAGCAGGACATCTCCAGAGAAATTCCTGAGCAGGCACAGCCCATCTGCTTGGGCTGCTGCAGGGACCAGAGTTTGAACAGCTGGCAGCTTGGTCACAGTTTGTCCGCGCTCAAAGAAAAATTGTTTGCCACAAAACATTTTTCTATATTCAAATACACGCCTGAGCCACAAACATTTCTCTGTGTTTGCGTATACCACCGAGTCACAAATTGTCTTCTTGTATTTAAGTAGGTCCCAAATTCAATCCATACATTTCCAGCCATTATCACCCCATTATCCTTTCTCTTTCTTGCTATTTTTCTCACCAAGCGGTGGTAAACCCCAGGCCCTTTCTTAAGCATGTGGTTGATATAATAGCAAAGGAAAGTTCTTTTCAAATATAAAACTGTTTTTAAATACTGTTTTATAACAGTCGTGGTCATCTGCAAGGAATCAGTTTTCAAAGAAGCATTGGTGGACTGACAGTCATGCGAGCCCAGGACAAAATGAAATGATCCAATTCAAAGCGGATTGAGACTTACTGTTCTGGAGGCACGTCAGTTTGGAGAGATTGATGAAGCTGAATTTTGAAACTACCAATTTGGCTTTTAAGGTGTGTTGGGGTCCAGACTGGCAATAGCAAATTGGAGTTTTACCATATAAAATGGTCCTCCCTATATGACAGTGGTGGAAAATTGTGACTGATAGCTGCTGGACAACCTGAAGCATCCATACCACAAGACTTGGTATCACCTTTGGCACCATCCGACAACTGTGTTGAAGTCAGGGTGAAGATGAACGAGACTTTTGGAGATGAAGGCTGTAGGGCACGTCGCTGCCTTGCATCAGATAAGCTTGGAGGTGCAGCACGTGGAGCTCACCTCGCTGGTGCTGTGGGGATACCAGCAGGGCTCTGATGTCTCAGATGCCTGCAGCAGACAGGAGCATGAAATACATTCCCAGAGGAAAAAAAAATCTCCTTTGTGTCATTGGCTTAGTGCAGTCTGCTTAAGCAAACTTCATCATTTAGGCGTTGCTTTTTTTCTGTCTGATTTTTGTTTGGTTTGGTTTGGCGTGGTTCTTTTGTAAGGGACTAACTGAACTGTCCACAGAGTGAATTGGGGAATTTGTCTTGACATGAGGTGTATGCATCCTAGGTGTCTGCTCTGTGAGGGCTACAGCTTGCTGAGAACTTCAGGCTATGGCAGAGCGTGGCATGCTTCACAGAGAGAGCAGCAGTAAGGAGAGATGCTAAAAGCGTCAGGCAATCATCCCGTCCTTCATTGGAATGAGGGACAAATCCAGTCATGACCCCTGATCCTCTTGATTAAAGCTCTCAAGTTTTTACTGTCCCCCACCCAGTATTTCTGGTGCATTTGTTATATAGCTTCCTGCAATCATGTTTATTGCTCTCCAGTGCACGCAGAATGTTTGCTTCCTACATACCTCAATTTATATTTTTGCCATTAACTATAGACACTGTTTTGTTTGTGTATTTAAAGAACTTTCAATATTAAGTTTCAACGTGTTAATACAGAAGAAACTAGAAAGTAACTACTTCTTGGTTGGAATTAATCCCCTGGATGGTTGCATTTCGAGTTGTTGGATTCTCTGTGCCATGGCTAATGTACGCACAGTGTGAGCTATCAGTTGTGTTATCTTTACTGCATGTCCAGGTTCAGAAGCAGCAAAACCTTCAGTTTGAGGGTTTTGTGTTGTTTGGTTTTCGTTTGTTTGCTTGTTTTAGGTTTGTTACATTTTTTAGTTTCCTTTTTATTTTTTTTATTTTTTTTAGGGAATGCTGGTAAGAAACAGCCAAGTGATCACGAGCCGACGCTGGCTCTGCTTTAGAAATCATTCATGCTTTTCAGGTGTCCAGCTTCCAGACTACTTAGGGCAGGAGGGGAAATGTAAACATCGTGCTGTTATTCAACCTACTACACGAAAGCATTGAGTCTGACAAGGCTGCAGGTTCCCCCGTGCCCCATCCCGACCGAGATCGGGCGCTGATATCCCTGCCAGTGACATGCAATCCGCCGGCGGCTGCACGGCACAACAATCGCCCACTGTCCGTGCTGGAGGTGGGAGCTTGGTGCTGCCTTCCTCAGGAGCCCAGCTGGGAGCAGATTTTTAGTAAATACAGTTCGGGTGCATCTAAACACACCTTCAGGTGCGTGCGCCTTCGCCTGATCTGTGTAAGACTTCAGGTGCTCTTTTGAACCTTGTATCAAAAGCCTGCCCAGGCTTTTGTTCTGCCTGTTTTTTCTAAGAAAGACGTTCAGGGTAAGAAATATCATGAGACTTTGTGACAGAGCTCGGGCTGTGCTGGGCAAGGCTGTCCCCAAGGCACGGAATTGGCTCCGAGGTGGGTTTAGGGTGGATGTGAAGCAGATAACGGAGTAAAAGAATCTGAAAGCAGCCGCTGCAGGAACCGTATACGTGCTGAGGGCTGAGAGAAGCCGTGGTGCTCTCCTCGTTACAGAGAGCAAAGCCTGGCAGCTTTGTTTCTGCACCGACCTTCTTGCAGGGAAAACAGAGCAGGAAACAAACCCTACCCGCCCGCCAGCGTACACTCTGCTCTGCCTTTGATGAAAAAAATGATTCATATCCATACCCAGGCCAGCAAGGTTGGGAGGCCAGGTCTGGTGAGCAAATAGGAACAGCATCAGAGCATTCAACATGCTAATTTAAAGTATGAGGCTTATATATGAATTATAAGCAGCAATAAAATGTGCTCCGACCCAAGCAGGGGAGAATTACTTCTTCTGATCAGCTGGCGGAGCTGGATGTAGAACAGGGCTCTGGACTTCGCTGTAGCTTGAATGGAGCAGGATTTCTGCATTATATTATTTTTATAGTCTCTTTCTGTCCGACAGAGATCTCTATTTCTTCGGTAACTTAAAGCGTATGACTCCGGCCTGTGCGCCCCGTGTCCGGGAGCTGTGCCGGGATGGTTTGGGCTGCCCTGGGATGCTGTTTGTGACCGTCTGTGTGCGAGGAGAGACGGCTCCTTCCCAAAAACCTGCCGTCCCCACTGCCTCGCTGCAGGCCCTCCTCCGCTGGCCCCACAAGCAGCGGGGGAAACGTTTCCATCCAGAGCAGCTTGCTTCTCTTTGCTTACCTTTGGCCTGCGGGTCAGGAAACCTTAATAATTTCCTTGTTATTAATTTAATCCGTGGTTCCTAGTAATTACCATAAATTAAGCCTGCTGGGGGTGGAAAACACAGGCCATAAACCGCAGGACCGGCTGGCTTTATTTGCTAGCGTCAGTGCCCAGAGGATCGTTTCCTGTAGGTCAGTCCCCTGCTTGCTGTGATTAGCGCAGGATCAGACCCAGCGGCACGGCGTTTCCCCCTCAGCCACTTAAACCCAGTCCTGGCCTGCCAGGAATGCTGTTAATACACGGGGTCCTATTAAACGCTTAACCTCAGAGCGAAGTGAACTTACGCCTGCCCCCGTTCAGGCACCGAGTATTTCCCGAGGATGGGTTCGAGTCTGGATTCGTGGCAGGAGATCGCGCAGCATCCCTCTGTGCCACCCCTCCTGCCACCCTCATCCCCCTTCCTTGGGACATGGGGTGCCCAGGGCGTTGGGCAGGAGGTGAGAACGACACGAGGGGAATTACACGGAGGCCCCATGGGTATAGGATCGCCGGTTTCCTCTCGGCGCTGGGCTGGAGCCAGGCATTCCCGAGTGGCACCGCTCTGCAGCGCCGTGCGGGAAGCGTTCCCGGCTGGGGAAGTGCCTGCCTCAGCCAAAGGTTACCCGGCCGAGGTGATAGCTTTGCATTCCTGCAATGTCTTAGCTTTTTTAAATTAAATTCTTGCAACATGAGGATTTAATCCCTTCTGCTATATATGGTGTGTGTGTGTGTGTGTGCGCGCGCGCGTATATATATATATATGTTTTTTTCCCTACAAAAATTTCATCAGGCAAGTTATTTGTGTGTTTGAAAATTGGCTCGGATACAGGGTCAGTAACTTTCCACCCAGAGCCCATAGAAAGTTTGGGGTTTGTGGCTGAACATGGGTCAAGTTTAGGGTTGTGCTTGAGTCGAAACTAGATCTGGAGTTGAGAGGCACTGGGGATGAAATCTACTGTGTTGCTCTTGATTTTTTTTTAATTAAAAATAATGGAAATGAGCAGTTTTCCTGTGCCCAAGTCTCTCAAAAGCAGCAAGTTCTACCACACTGAAAATGGTAGAATTGGTAAAAATTAGTGGTTTCCAGTATGAAATTGGATTCAAAATCCAATCCTAGAAGCTTTGAATCTGTGGACTGAAAATTAAGCTCCAACAGAGTTTTTTTTTGTTTGGTTTTGGTTTTGGTTTGGTTTGTGTTTTTGGGAAGTGGGGTGGGAGAGAAGTTAATAAGCGAGGCTGTGATCTGTTGAGGGGTTTTTTTGTTTGGTTTGGTTTTTCATTGTGTTTGTTTAATTAATTATTTATTATCCTTCTGTCAAGCTGCTCGGTCAGCTTGCAGACCATCAGGATCCAAACCCATCTGCACTGGTGCCCTGGAGTAAAACACCAGCAGCCTGGTCCCAGCCAAGGAGTCACCAGCTCTGCAGGTACAAAGGTGCTGAAGGTTGATTTGCACCTTAGAGAAACCACGAACCAGGAGCACAGCCCTCGGCAATAAATGCCCCGCTGCCCTAAGCCAGGGCCCAGATTTGAAGCACTTCTGGTGAGTGCTTCAAAAATCTGCCTCCTGTTCATGGAGACCTCAATAGGTAGCACAAAGGCTTTTCTCCCCTGGCTCAGTTCTCCATGGCTCGCGGTGCTGCCCGAAGCTTTTCAGCTCTTCCCTCCACGTGGCCACGGCGTTGGGCACAGACGCAGCTCTTCCTCGATGAAGGCATCGCTTTGTGTCACCACTTTGGTCTCTGGAAGAAAAATTGTTCCTCCAGGTCTTGCCATCTGCTGCTATTTAAAGGAACATCATCATCATCACCAATACGTTCCGCTGGGGGTCCTAAGGTATGCGCAGCCTTATTCTTCCAAACCTTGTGATTGGAAACAGATATTGCACCACGGCGTCCCTTTAAATGCCATGTCAGTGCTGGGAAACTTTTTAATTAAGGGTTCTGCATGAGAGAAGCCTGCAATGAATGGGGGAGGTTTTAGGCAGCATTTAGCATCCCCGGGCGGGTCCTGCAGGCATTCAGAGAAATCTGCACCTCCTGCAGCTCTCTGTCCGTGCTGCTGCCTGCCTTGCCCAGGAGGAACTTTTAGCATCCCCCTCTGCTACCTGTCACCTGGCCGTCCTAAACTGGGGAGCTCAAATATTTGCTCCGTTGGGTGTGTTCTCCATGCAAAATGCTTTTTGAAGAAACGCATTTGTTGTTTTTTTTTGTTTGTTTGTTGTTGTGTTTTTTTGACACGCTAGACATTTTTTACTGAATCATCTGGCTTTGCAAATATTTGAAAAAAAAATGATTTTTTTTTTACCCTTCACTCTAAAATAACGCAGCTTCTTGCCCACTGCAGTCTGAAAACTGACGAGTAAATGTTAAAGCTGATAATCGGGGGGGGGATGTGGGGTATAAATATTTTTATGGTATTGAATGAACAGAAGATACTTTTATAATTAGAATTGATGTAGCATCCTAAATTATATAATCCTAATCTGATTTCTGTTGGCATAGGTAGAGCTGGGTCTTTTACACCTAAGCTGAACTTTAAATCTTTGCCGAGACCACAAAGTTTCAGGAAACCTTTGTCAGTGTGATCCAGGAGGAAGAAAAGCTTTTGTTTTCCTTCTGACCCACTCGTGTTCTTGTTGGAGATTATACCTGAGTCCATTCACTGATGGTTTTTGCTGTGTTACCCTCTGGTCTCTCCCAGGACACAGGCGACTGAAGTCAGGCTCTGCAGAGAGGAACCCAAAGCTTCCCCAGGCAAACAGAAGTGATCTGAGGGGCTGCAAACCCCTGATGGCCACTGCAGCTGCTGCAGGTTTTTTGCAGTTATTGCTTCCTGGGGATGACCGCGAGGTCACGGGACCTTCCTGATTTGTGTGCCGCCTGCTGACCTGCCACATCGTGGGGTTTTTCTTCTGGTTTCTTGGGTACAGTTTCAGCAGAAGATGAGAGAACCCCCTGGGGCTGGCACCTGCATCTCTCACATCCCAGCTGAGCGCCCTAGGGACTGCATAGGATAACGCACATTAAAAAAAAAAAAAAAAAAAAAAGGAGAGAAATAGGTATGAAATGTTGTTTTGGCCCTCATGTTTGTCCCACAGTATTAAAAAACATAAATAAATCTGGAAAAAAAAAAAATACAGGGGCAAGGAGCGTCCCTCTTTGGAGGTCTTCAGAACCCAGGTTCTTCCCAACCTCAACTGTTCTGCAATTTTGTGACAAAATCCTGAGCTATTTGGTTTATTTAGATTTACTGAAGTGCCACTGTGCTTGTCTCTGCCTGGTGCCAGCACCCAGGCTCCTGTAACCATCCCTAGCCATGTGCACCCATATGTGACGTGCAAGCAGCCACGCGCAGGAGCTGCCTGGCAAAGCTTTGCAGTGCCCACAGCTTGGCACAAGCTGGGTGTTTGTAGCTCCTGGTCCTGCTCCGTGGGCTCGGAGCAGCTGACCAAGCTGTGTGTCACCCCCCCGGGCTCAGGACCAGGGCTTTCCAGAAGAGGAGCTCACGCTTTGCTTTGAAGACAGCAAGGGACAAGGAATCCGCGGCATTCCTGGCGTATTCCGGCGGCGGGCTGCCCTTGTTGAAAACCAGATGTCTCCTTTCCAATTCGCATGTTGCTGACTTCCAGTTCCAGCCCTCACACCTTCTTCTGCTTTTTTTTCGGAGCCCGAATCGATCGCCTCCCCTCCCTCCCATCTGCCGCTGCCGCCCAGCGAAGCACCAGCCTCACCTGTCCCCAAGCAGCTTGCCCTCCCTGGGCGTGAATAAAGCAGAGCTATTGGGGTCGCAAAGATCAACGACGTCGTAAAACACTTCAAGCGTATTCCTTTGCATCGGGCCTGGGCTGTGATGGCCATTCCGTGGACACAAGGCCTTAATGTGCACAGCCCTGATCTGTTTTTCCCATCGCTGACACTTCGTTGACCTACCTGCTTAGGAGAGTGATGTGGGTCTGTCCTTAGTGCAATTTTCCTCCTTTTGGAGAGTGATAAATCTGTTAGGGCATGTATTTATTTTTTTTCCTGCTTTACAGCTTGCCATAAATACTCAATAGTATCGTCTTACTCGGGCTGGTGGCTCCTGGGCTAGCAATGCTCAGTGCCCCCACGAGCAGCTCCTGGTGGGGCACGGGGGAGGCTGGGGACAGCCAAAGCACCCACACCTGTGATGCCAGCACGGAGTCCTCATGAGCAAGAAAAGAAGGATTTTCTTCTTATTGATGGCTTAAAGGTCAAGCTTGGCTTTGTTCTGTACACACAGAATAATTTAGCTTTTCTCTTTGGTGCTCTCCCCTGTAGGTAATAAATTAATTTAATTTGATTCATTGGCAGCCTCGCCTTTGGTAGCGGAGGCAGCAACACCGCTAGAGACGGGGCATGAGACTGGAAAACTTTGCAGAGGGGTCTGATCCTACAAAACACAGGGATTTCAGGATGAAATGCTGGGGGCACCTTGTCTCAGCTTGCTCCGAGCCAGATTTGAGTTTCCTGAAGTAACTTGGGAAGATGGAAAGGAAGTGAAGTTGTGTCCATAGGGCCAGTGGGAGCATCCTGCTCTCTCTCCCAGTCCCGTAAGTACATCATGGTAATTCAGAGCAGCGCTTGCTTGTTTACAGAGCGTGTGCTGCAGGAGAGCTATCGCTCAGCGGAGCAGGGATGTGCTTAATGCAAAAAAGAGCCCACGATTGCAGAGCTGCTCTGTGCACTCTGTAGCTGAAGCGTGTTGTGATACCCCTGGGTAAAGATCAAACTGGAAAGGACTCGCCGACATCTGATTCTCCTCAATTTTAGTTGGATCCAAATCTAGCAAAAGGGCATTTTATGTCTGGTCACAGTCCAAAAAGATATAGCAAAATCACCTGGAGTTACAAATGTGTTGCAGAACCTGTCCCTAATCACATTAAGAGCTCTAAACTGTAAGGCTCAATTGTTTGCCAAATGAAATATTCTCCTCCGGTATTTGCAGAAAGGAATTACAGTCTGTGAGTAATGTTTTTCATTTGGTATCGAAGTACAGTTTCTGTTTTATGGACCCAATCCTGAGCTTGGGGAAAGAGTCATTAAAAAGGCTTTGTTTTGCTGGGGAGCGAGGGCAGCGTTACTCCAACTTCACCCCACCTTGGGACTGGGCTCTGAGCTCCCGGGACCAGTTGCTTCCAGTTCAGACCAAGCTCCCTGCTGTCCCCACCGGACTGGCATCACCTGCCGTGCATGGCGAAGCGATGGTCATGGTGTAACACCCAGCAGGTCTGGGACGGGGGCTTTTCCCTTCCCTGTCACCAGCTTCCAAGGCTTCAAACCCTTGAGGTTCACACCGTGACGCTTTCTTCTGCACTTCTGAGAGCGATGTTTGTTGTTGTTGGCTTTGAGGTCATGCTTAAAGGGAGGGGAAGTCCCGATGCTCCTGGTCATCAAGGGGCTGAGCTGTGTTCCTGGGGATCCAGGAGGGTGAACCCGATGTCTGTGCTTGCTCCTCATCTCACGGCGTGTGCTGGTGTCCCTGGGGGCTCTTGCTCAAAGCTTTGGATGCAGCCAGACTTTCCCAGCCCAATGATGGTGTCACGGCTCCTGGCCATGCTTTGTGCATCAGCTCCAGCTCCATGGTGTTCCCCAGTAAGACAACAGGTCAGGCAGCAGTTCTGAAATAACCCTGGCCAGTGACATACAGCCTGCAGTGCCTTTACCACATATTTTTCTTTTCCTTTCCTTCCCTCCATCCCAACACGTCTCCTTCTACCCATCCTGCTTCGCCGCGGTTCCTGTGAACAATTGAGTAGTCGGGTAGCAGGAGTCTTCTGCAACAAAGAAACTACTTTACTTTCTGCTATGGTTAATGCCCCAGTTTAATGAGTCCTTCATATCATTCTCAGCACCCTAAATTAAAGGGTAGCCTATGCAATTAAACCGTTCAGCTTGCAGAATGCCCCTCTCAGGGTTATCTGCAAAATGGGTTGAAATGCAGCTGCTACTAATATTGCTTGTATTAAAGCTGGCAAAGGAAAAACCTCTTTCTTCTCTCTGTTGACAGTCATGTGCCTTTACTTTCAATTAAACTGATTATTTGCACCATCTTGTTCCTGATCATTGTCCCATGAGGTTTTCCTAGCCAGGAAATATTTTATGTAATACATAACTGTAGATGTTTAGACCTTCGTGTTTGTGTCTTTCAGGAATGAGGGGAGAGCTGAGACTTGCAGCCAAATCTTAGTCCAATTCACACCAGTATTAATCCAGAGTAAACCTGCAGTTTGCAGTGGAATTACACCAGATTTGTGCTCAGTTGGATCCATCAGATTTTGTTTGCTTGTTTTTTCCCCAAATAGCTGCTTAAGGAAACAAAGCAGTTCCCCGGCACCCCCTCCCCAAATCTCTCCGTTGCATCTGGAACATATTGCTCTATTACCAAGGGTCAGATAATATCCTGCGTTAACAGAGCATCCTCCAGGCCCCCCAGATTCTTTCCAGCCAAGTCACTTCACCCACCCCTGACGTGCAGCCTGCTGGGGGGAAAAGGCAGCCACTCTTCGAGGGTTTTGTCGCTGCTTTGGTTGGGAGCAGAACGGGGACCACAGCAGCACCGAAATCACACCTGAGGGAGGGGTGGCTCGGCTGATTTTTAGGCAAAAGGAAATGTTCCCTGCGTTTCACTGAGCCTGTGGGGCTCACATCTCCTTTTCCCCACCTTGCTGGGGCCAGGCACCGAAATCAGCTGGGGGGGCACAGCTCGCAGCAGAGCCGGGCTGGGAGGTGGTTGCACTGGTGCAAGGAGCCTCCAGCTCAGCACCCCCATCCCCCAAAATGTCACACACACCATCGTCCCACATTGCCTCTTGCATAAAGTGCTGTAGACTCCAAGACTCAGCGTTTCTTTTTCTCTTTTGTCCCCAAAACGTCAAAACAGAAGCATGAATCAATGGCATAAGAAACAGCTCTTTTCTGCCCTTTCACTGAGAAACGCTCTGCGGTAATCCAAGGTATTATATTTGGGATTCATCTGCAGTGAAATTTCTTTCTGCCCCAAACCTGTCAGGCTCCAATTCTCATTTTAATGATCTCATTTTATAAATAATGGAAAGAAAAACAATACATTCAATAGAAATGAGATTAGAAATGGGAGGGGAGTGAATTACAAATGCAAGAGTCTGTAGTTATTCCAAGGAAGATAAATCTAATTTTTAGTGGTCTCCGGTGAAACAGCATCTTGCTAAGAAACAAACAAACAAACAAACAAAAAATGCTTTTGCTGATAAATAAAGGTGCGAGGTGATGGCAAGGAGGCTTTTTTTAACACTAGTTGGTTGTTATAGCGTCTTGGGACTAGCAATACCTGGGGTTTATTTCTGGCCTCGCCACGGTCTCTCTGCAATAAATCATTTAACACCCTGTGCCAAAGTTGCAGCAGAATCTGGAAAATCAAACTCCAGTGAATAAATGTGCAAATGACATCGCCAAGTAACGCTCAGTGCAGTTATCAATGCCAGGCTTCTACCTCAACAGAGTTATGAAGCCTGGCGTACACAATGAGCAGGGAGGTGCAAATTAGTGTCATTTCAGCAGCCCACACACAATTCACTGCAGACTGTTGTGGGAAAGAGTGTCACTGGGAATGATGTTTTGGTTCAGGGCTGGAGCCTGCCTGGCAATGAACCCTGTGTACATGTCCCAACATAGACGTGATGCCAGCGGTGGCTTTAAAATTCCTCCTTTTATTTTTGTTTACCTTACGTGTATTTGGGCAGATTTTCTCTTTGCATGAGTGACAGAGCCACCCTCCTATAGGACTCAGAGGCGAGTGCACCTGTGCAATTCTGGGACCAAGCATCCTAGACGATTCTGTGATTCAGTGATCTCTTGGAGGTCAGGGCCTCCTCCCTTCTGGAGGTCTGGCTGCTCACTGCCTCTTTGCTGTTGAAGCTTGATGAGGATGGAGAACGTGCAGGATGGCTGAGGATTTGAGAATGTGGTGAGGGAAAAGGAGTATGGGGAGCACTGAAAGACTTGCTTGTATGTTGGCATTAAGATTGACGCCAACACGCTTACCTGATCATCAGGAAGCAGAGAACAATTTCTCAGGAACTTTAAACACCTGCTAGGAGCACATATGAACATCAAGTTGATGACCAAAAAAACAAGGGCATGGGTATAGACCGGGCTGGATGGATACAGACCTGATCCTTGCCTCTGCAGAAAGGTTTTATCCCAAGATATCTGCTGTGAGAGACAAAGTGCAGCCACTGATGATGATCTTGGATCATCAAGTTCATAGAGATGCGAGGGCGTTCATTAGAAACAAAGATTCTGATGGCTTTGCAAATAAATTACTCAAATGTTCATCTAATGAGGGATGCAAATTAATCCAGAAGTACATTTAATAATGGGGAAACTCCTCCATAATCAAGTGTAGTGAAGCCAGTGACGTTCCAGTGATGTGAGCCAGGAGGTAATGAAGACAACAGGCCAGCCGAGCGTCCTGCCATGCTCCACGCCACGCTCCGAGGGATGATGGCAGGACAATGCTGGTATGGCCTCACCAGGAGCAAGGTGGTGCAAAGGAGTGGAGCGAGTTATGGGTCGAAGGAGAGGATTTAAAATACAACACAGGGCATCACCAGGTCGCCTCTCTGAGCAGAGGTTGGGCTGCAGAGGGGTGGGTTTTGTCAGACTCCTGGCAAAAAGCAGCTGCTCAGGGTCGGGTCAATCGTGTGAGGGGAAACTCAGCAAAAATGCAGTGAATTTGGATATAAAGGATTTCTTTTGCTTCCTCTGTGAACAATGTCTTGCTACAAATAACTGCATACCCCCAGCCTTGTCCTGTCCTGGCTGATGCTTAAACTGTCAATAATCATCAGGTTGCTGTCAGGGTGCTTCTCAATGGGGCTGACAGATTATATCTCTAAAGTCCCTTTATTGGACCTTGTTCCCAGAAAAGCTTGCAAATTGCTCTCATCTTACCAGACAAAGGCGTTGCTCACACTCGGAGTCCTTGGATATCCTACACAATAACGTATGAATTGGTGAGAATTACCCGAGATAAAATATCCCTTACAACATCAAAGTTCCTGATCTTTTAGCTGTCAGCCGCAGGTATGTGAAAGTCCTGACAGGCTGGAGATAGAAGGAAGAGATAAAGCAAAAGAGGAGAAAAGAAAACGGAGAAATTCTCTGAATGAAATGTTATATCGTTGCATTTGGCGCAGAGATTTCAGTGTGAGGGGTCTGCAGGGCTAGCAGAGGTGTGAGCGAGGCCCAGGGCTTTTGCCTTTCCAAATGAGCGAGCAGCAGCTGGTACCGAGCAGCCAAGGACAGATGCTGCTCTTAGTTACACCCGTGGATAAAGCGAGCAGGGGAACAGAGAGCAGAATAAGGCTAAATCACACTCAGACATCTTTCCAGTGAGTGCAGTCAGTTCTAGGCCGCACGACACCGGGGGGCGGGGGGAACTGTTTTTAGCAAACGGTAGCTGGCACATTGCAATTAGCACCTTGCAGCTGCTGTCAGGTGAGATCCTGATGGCAATTAGGGAGATTGCCTAATTGAGATGGGGAGGGAAGCACTGAAGAAGAGGAGGGCAGGGAGCAAGGCTCCTTGTTCCTTGTGGGAAGGCTGTGCTTAGTGCTACCAGGCCCCGGTGCTGCCCTGCACTGGACCAGGGGTGACAAGGATGAGCTGGTCTCATTCTTCCCAGCTCCTGGTGCTGTGCTGGTGGCTGGGTTTGCACGGTGAGATGGATGGAGCAGGTTGGCTGACAGAGGGAGATGCTGCCATAACCAACAGCAGGCCGGCCTCGCTTGCGTTGTGCTCGCAGGTAGGCCCGAAGCCATTGCGCTGAGGCAAAGGGGCTGAGCTGAAAAGAGATCTGAAAGCTGCTGAAACGAGATCTGAAAGCTGCCTTCAAAGCTGCCCTTCCTCACTGTGAAGATGGGATGAAGCTTCCCTTTGCGTACCTAACCTCCTCCTGGCACCGCGGCTCCGAGCGCGGATCAAATACCTTGCAAAGGGCCGCTCTTGGCAGAGACACGAAGTGCTTTCCTCGAGTGACATAAATATCGTACGTTATTTGCTGCCTTGCCAAAATGCAAACACACACATGCACTCCTAACTAAGCAGCATTCTTTAAAACTTAAGATCATTGCTTAGGAAAGAAATATAGAGCGTTTTATAAATCCAAATTGATCACGCACGGCGTGTGTTGAAAATATGTACAAAAATAGGACCCCAAAACTCCATTAAACCACTTCTGAGACAATACATCACTGCACCTTTATATTGCACAGAGGGGTTTAACAACCCTTCTCCAGGAAAATATTTTACTAGGTAACAAAAAAAAAAAAAAGTTATTGAAAACACATATATTTGATACTTTTGGCAATTCATTTTACTACTTGCATTTCCAATTCATTGGTATAGTTCATGAAAAAAAATATTTTCGCAGTTGGGTCATGTTATTATTTCTCTAATTTTTTTTTTCTACTTGAAAGTCACGATAGGATTTCTTTCTGTGAAACAACAAAGAAAGAGAAATGCTGCTTGCCTGCTTTGGGGATCCTGTAGATGTTTTAGGGAACTGGGGTCTGCTGGAAGTGCAGATGTGTAGGACTATGCCTACAGGAGATTATGGCATGTTTGTGTATTTCTGTGTAGCCAATGTTATTTCTGAACCAACCTAAAAAGTGCCAGGGGAAGCACTGGTGTGCTGACCTTTCTAAGGAACAAGAAGTCAGCATCCTTTATCAGCCAATAGTAAGATCTTTTCTAAAATTGTATAATTTTACACTGGATCAAACCCTTCCTCCCAAATGTTACTACAAGTGTCCCTCATGAACCACATTGCTTTCAGTTGCTTGCTACTTGTTCTGTATTGCAGGAGCCTGTACGTGACCTGTTGCTCAGCTTCTGAATGTGTGCTCGGAGGGTTTGTCAGTGCTCAGCTGATGCACAGCAGCTTGCAAGCAGAGGGAGCTGCACTGTGAGTCTGTCCTTGGCATCCGAGCTGCCCCTGGCACTCATCTTGGGTGAATGACTTTATTCTGCCGAGGTATTCCTCTTCTGCCTGCAGCGAGCACACCTCTCCTGAGTTTGGTCTGCCCACAGGTGGTCCCAGAAGAGGGCAAAGAAAGGGAGAGGAATGGGTGAGCTCTTCCTAACCCAGGCTAATGGCACTTCTGCACCACAAGCCTGACTTGGGCTCAGGCTCAGGTCTGCTATACCCTTGTCCTGCCTAGACAATGGCTTTTCAGCTGGAGGTGCTTGTGCCTCAAGCCCATTCTAGCTGTTCACCATGGAAATGTGGACGTGTGCTAGCCTCTGCTTTCCCTCGTGCAGATTTTGAAGCCAGCTTAAACCAGGCAATTGCTTGTGGCCCTTCAGTGCTTGCCTGCAATCTCCTTCCCCTCCTGTTTCTTTCTGTCACATATGCCCAAGAAGATTTTGGTGGAGGGCTCAGTTTACCAAAGTGCAAAGGAGTGATGAAGCCATGCCCCTGGGAATGATAGTGTCCTAGAGACCCGATGATCTCCTGGTTCCCTGTGGTAATCTCTGGTTCCTCAACCCCAGCAGAGGTCGTCTAAGAAAGCTCCAGGATGGGGACAACACTGAGCATCCACATGAGGATATCTGCTTGTTCAACCAGTCATCCAGGCCACGTGAGCACTTATTCCCAAGGATCTTACTTCCAGCAACAGTACAGGTAAGCCCAATGTTTGTTTTGAGTACTGTAAGTACCCGCAAGCACGATGTGACCCTATTTGTGTAGAAAACAGAGATTTTCCATTTTAATTGCTTCCTGTGCGACACATTTCGTTAGGTCCCAGCTTCTCCCCAGTTGAGCTCCTCACAGCACTTGTCTCCTGCTGTGCATTTAATTACTACCGTGAAAGTCCGTCAGCAAAAGGCCAATCAATTTGAAAGATTAACGAATCTCATGCTTTACCTGTCTCCTCCCCCCCCAAAATTAGAAAGCCCACTCTGTAGTTTCCAGCGCGCATCTATCATTACATACTCCTGGGTCTCAGGTAAATTAGCAACCTGATTCTTTCCCCTGCTGTCACTTAGAAGAAAAGGGCTTCTTATTTGCCATCCAAGGAAAAGTACAGTAAGCCTAGAACTAGATAAAAGGGGAGTAATCAAATATATTTAACTGTACTCAGCCAAATCCCATTATTTGTATAGATGTTAGCTGGAGCATTTGAAGAGTTAGGATAGCCTTGTCTTTATTGGGAAATAATGCTGCTTTATTGAAAAGTGCAATTTCTGAGCTAGTGTTCTTCCTTTTACTTAAAATGAGAAGTTCACCTTTATAAATACATATTTACATATATATGTAGGAATTGCTGTTAGATGTTAAAAAAAAAAAAAGTTACATGTCCGTGCTCTTCCATGAAGCATGTGCATCTGGGGGGCATACAGCATCCCTGCATTTTTCTTTTGAATGGAAAATGCCTGCTTGAAGTGAAGAGGTTCCCTGGGTTGCCCTTCTCTCTTGTACTTGAAGGAAGTAAGGAAAACCATTTGAAATATCACCTCCCATATACCAGCAGCACCATCCTGCTGCTGTGGCAGAGAGGAGCATGGGGTATGGTTAAGATGTAGCAGGGAACTGAGAAGACAAAAGGAACGTGCTGGGGGTATCTCATGGAGGCAATAACCCTGGTGAGGGTCACCTGGCGAGGTGAGTTTGCTGTATTTCCCAAGTCCTCCTTCAGTTTTCTCTGTGGATCAGTGCTACAATCTGGGTTTTGCTGTGAAACCATTTGGTTAAGATGCTCCAACACAAGCACTAGGTCCATAGCCTGAGGGAAAGCCTCCCTTGGGCTGTGCTCGTGCCAGCATGCAGCTCAGCTCGGTTCGGTGCTCAGGCTCTGCGGGGAGCCCTGCACCCTTAGGGTGATGGACAAGTTCACCCTGCTTTAGATGGGCATGATGAGATGAAGCGCATCCTGGTCCCAGGCTCCCAGTTCCACTGCGAAACATCCCAGCTCGATGCTGTTTCACTACTCTGTGAGGAAGAAGGAGGGAGATGAGAGTCCCCACGCTGTTTTTTTACATGCCTGAGTCAAATTACCCTCCCTTCTGCGGGGCTTCTTCTGAAATAACAGATCTTACTGTAACCAAATATTGCCATCCAGGAAAGCCATTTTGCAACCAGCAAGGAGGCTTCTTCCTCCTCAGCAGCCGTTGAAAAGGCCCTTTGTTCTCAGGCCGAACACCTGGAGAGTGTTATCTGCAGCGGCCTCTTGGGGCTGGAACACTGGGAAGCTGTGGCAGGACCTGGTGGCATTGGCATTGGTGTTGGTGGCAGCATCTGGGAGCTGCTTGCACCCAAAATCCATCTCAGATGGGTCATTGCATGGGCAATTTGTGGTTGTGTCTTCCGTGGGGACTGGGGAAACTGGCCTGGTCTGGGTTTTCTTTATTTTGCTGTGCTAAAATGAACAGCTTCATGCCAAATGGTCTTTGGCCGAGCCTAAGGAGGTGGCACCTCTGCAGAGAATGGAAAAAAACCCTTGGGTGTTACAGTGCCTTCCTGGAGGAACTGGTGATGTGAGTGGTAGTGGGATGACCCCGAGCCCTGGGGTTCTGGAGTCACATTTTGGAACTGCAGCGTGAAGGGTTCAGGGTGAAACTGCTCGCTGGCAGCATCCTGACCCACCAGCAACTGCCCCAGCACAGAGGGTCCCTCTCCATGGGAACCACCTGAATGCAGACCAGCACCGTGTAAACCATCATTGCCAGGCAAACCAGCTGCAAAAGCCAACAGATATTCATTCTTTCCCTGTGTTTTATACCATTAAAAGAAAAATCTGGCTGGAGGAGGAAACCTGGTGGCTCTGAAAGCAGGGCTGAGTACATCTGCTGTGGGGTGACCTGGAGGGTTGCCCTCACCAGCTGAATCTGTGCTGGTTGTGTGATGAGGTTACCGGTGACCTCAGTGGAAACTGGACTTGCACAGTGTGAGTTATTTAGCAGGTCCAAGCCTCCAGGCCTTTCTCTGTGTATTGATTTTTCCACTAAAGTCACAGGCTGGAGAGCCCGTGTCAAAAAGCAGCCCAAGATCACTCCTTGTTTCCTGATCACCCAGACAAAACACTGGCTCCTTCAAGGGACTCGCGCCGGGGGATTTCGGCAGTGCCTCATCACAGGATGTGCGGCGCTGTGAAATAGCGGTTCTGGAATATTTCTGACAAGTCCTGAGAGCAAACTGCACGATTTGCAAAGGGACAGACCACAGCTAGAGCTTCACAGTCTGCACTGGCAGCTCAGGGGTGAAGTCACTGCTTCTTCCCTGTGCAGCAGCATCCTTGCCGTTTTTTGGGGGACTGGATGGAGCTTAGCAGGGAAAGAGCAAACATTGCCAGAGATCCACGTGAGGCCTGTGGGTACCAGCTCCAAACCCCCGTGAGGCTCTGATAAAGGGGCAACAAAATGCCCCGCAAAATTTTACCGGCCACAGACCGTGATTTCTCTGCTCACATTCAGGCAGCTCGCAGCATACGGGTCGCTTTAAAGGTTTCTTGGTCCTTGTCCAGGCACCGCGACCGGTTCTCCCATGACTTTATGTTTATGTCTCTTTCTAACATTCCTCCCTTTCTTCCCCACGAAGGGAAAATTTCCAGGTTTGTTCCTTTCAACTTTGTTCGTGGTAGCAGTCTTGACAGAAGGACTTAGTGTCCGTTTAGTGTCTTTGCAAGGAAAAGGGAGAAACTTCTCAGTTACATAAAAGTTTGTATCAAAATTCAAGAATCCAGATTAATTATAGGAGACTTGCCTTGTATCATTCAATTTGTTTGAATAGCTTTAAAGATTAAGCAGATCCAAGGCCTAACAGAACCAGAGCCAGTAAGACAATAGCTGAGATTTTCCTTTGAAACAAAATATACAGGTGGTTTCTGTGACTTTCTGTGTCTATCTGCCTGGCTTTTTTATTTTTATGTCGTATCCAATATCAGAGAACCTGGCAGTAGAAATCATATAGCAATTTGTGAGAGCTTGTTGCTGTTCTAGATATCATATAGTCTGTTCCACACCAGCAAAGACAAAACCAATGCCTTTACTCCTCGAGTTTTCATTCAAAGGATAATGATCTCTGGTAACAAAATATTTGGCAGTGGCATTATTTAAAATGCACAGAGGAAATGTTTGTCCCTAATTCAAGGGACTGTGGTCACACAGTCTCTATTCACTCGGTATTTACCAACGAATGCCAAAGGCCAATCTGCAAAAGCCCAGGAACAGAGTTAAGTTTATCGCACTCCGGCCTCAACCCATCCCATTGTAAGGGAGAAAAAAGTAATTACTGGATTTCTTTGTGGTCAGAGAACTTATAAATTCTCTGTTTTACCCAGCAGGCTATAATGGCTCCTTCGGTAAATATCTAATTAAGTGGTCGAGGTGCCTTTTTTTTTTTTTCCCCCCTTTCTCCGCATACTTTTGTGTTTTAAAATCCCTTTGCATTAAACGACTTCTCGAGTTCTCCACATTTCTCACACGCACGGCAGAGGGAAGTAAGAAGAGGGAAAAAAAAATGAAGGAAAAAAAAAAAAAAAAAAAAAGAAAAACCGGCCGAGGGGAGATTTCGGTCGTGGGAACAGGAGCCCGAGGCGGGGATTTGCGCGGGCCGGGGGCAGCCGCTGCGCGCAACCTGCGCGGAAAGCGCCGGGACAGGGGAGAAGGATGCGCCCCGGGAGGGGACCGCCTTGGGGTTTTGTTTTACTTAATTGATTAATTTATTAATTTCTCTCTCTCTCTCTCTCTTTTTCTTTTTTTTTTTTTTTTTTTTGTGGGTGGTTCTTTTTTTTCCTTTTTTCTTTTTCTTTTTTTTTTTCCTTTTTCATTCTGTTTTCTTTTTTTCGTGCTTTTTTTTTTTTTTTTTTTTTGTCGTTTTTGTTTTGGGTTAGTTTTATTGTTATTATTCTTATCTTTTATTTTTTTCTTGCCCCGAAGCTGGTAAAGCCCCACCGGGGCCACTTTTCGCCTTCGCTTTCTTTAACCGTGCCAACCCCGCGAGGTTTTACCGACCCCAGGAGGGGGGCTCCGGGCTCTCCCCGCGGGCAGCTGAGCCCTTCCAGCCGGGACCAGGACCGGGGCAGGACCGGGACCCCCTCGGGACCCCCCCGCCGCCGTTTGTGGGTTTTTAACGGAGCCGCGCCGGGGCTGGGCTGCAAGCGGCGGAGCCGGGCGAGCCCCCAGCAGCGCGGGGCTCTCCCCCTGCCCCTTCTCCCTCGTTAGGGAAGTGTTGGAAAATTGCTGAAGTGCGAAATGAGCCTGCGAAATCCCGTTGTCCTCATTAAACTCCGACGAGGAGGGTGACAAGAAGCAGCGGAGGGGAAAACAATGCGGCCAGTGTGTTTGGGGGAGAGCCCCGAGCCGGGCCAGCTTTTGTCCCCGGCCAACAAAAGCTCTTGTTTGCATGTGTTAAAACCCGGCTGCGAGCGGCGGCCCCAGGTGCAAACGGCAGCCCCCGGGCGGCCGCGCAGCATCCGCGCCCGCTGAGCACCGAGCAGCAGCGCCCCGCAACGCCAGGAGCTGCCTGTGCTGCCCCTAAGGAGAGCCCTTCTTCACCAGGAGTGCAAAGCAAACCCTGGGGGGGTTCTCTCCTTTTTTTTTTTTTTGTCCCCACCTTCTTTTTCTCTCCTTTTTTATTTATTTTTTTTTATGTGATCCATGATTCTTCTGGCCCGCGCG